GTGTTGGATAAGGGAGCAAGGTGAGCAGGGGCCAGGGGAGCAAGCCAGTAAGCAGTGTTCCTCCATGTCCTGTGTTCCAGTTCCTGCCTCCAGGTTCCTGCCCTGAGTTCCTACCTTGGGCTCCCTGATGAACTGCGACCTGGGAGATGTAAGCTGAATAAACTCTTTCCTCCCCAAGTTGGTAGTGGTCAGAGTGTTTGGTCACAGCAATGAAGAAACAAACCAGGACAGCGGCCATCTATCAGACCTACCACACTCTTCCCAAGGGTCTGCTCCAGTAGGAGAGGAAGAGTTGGTTTCGATGATCAGGACTAGGTGTGCTTTATGCTACATTGGGAGATTCCTGCATATTTCCTATGGATCCTCACAAGCAAGAAGTATTAGTAATAACATTTAGGCTCTGGGAGACTCAGAAATCTGTACAAAGTCATACAGCCTTTAGGTATCTGAACTCCATCTCCTGACATTGACCCCCGAGTACAATTGTGTCCTATTTCTATTTTACAGATACAACTCCAAGAGTGTCTGAGCGGAGGCTTCACTTTTGGTTGGAGGAGGTCTGGGATCTGCAGGGACCAGGTAAGCTCTGGGTAGCCCAGCAGGACCTGTGCTCCATAGCCTCACAGGTGGCAGACATCCATACAGACGGGAAAGGCACCTAAGTGCTTTTGAGCCGCCTAACCAAGCAGACCCGTGCCTGACTATTTCCACTCAAGGGATGCTTACTGGCTCCTAAGGTTGGCTTCCTCATCATCTAACCTTCCAAACACTTATGCAGAAAGAAGGAAAATAAAACCTAAACTTCCCAGACCTGGACCCTGCTAATAATGTACCAACCCTCAAAGGCTGAGTTAGCATGGATCTAAGCCCACCTCCCTACCATGAAACACCCAACTCCCTGCTGTACAGCAGCATATCACCTCCTGAGCCTGGAACCTCCCAGAAAACTGAAGACAAGGCTCTGACTGCTCTGGAGGCTGCCAGTTCCAGCTGGACGCTGTGACAGTTGGCTCCTGACGGGCGACCTTGTCAGCTTAGCAAGGGTGGTACCCGCAGCCTCCCACTTCACTGAGTGCTCCTTGGCTCACTCACGGCTGGCAGCTTGGTGTGTCCCCATGGTCATATGTCTGGGCTCTGATAGCTAATTAATCTGCAAAGCCCTCTGGATATATGACATTTCTGACACAGATGGTCCTGAGTGTCGTTGTGAGGCCTCAAGTGTGACCCATGAGAGATGGAGGTCATCTGCACGTACATCTCAGCCCAGGTGAGCGCACACTTAGCTTGAGGCGTCTGAAGGACAACACCTGTCTTTACTTTTCGCACTGACTCCATGCATTAATGACTTTGAATGGCAACCCCACTGCACCCAAGGACTCCATCCTCATCCTGCCAGGCCTGAATGCCTCATAGAACTGGAGCCCAGGATCTGCCGGTTCCTCTCTGAGCTCTCTCCAAGCTTGCATCCTGCTTTTAGTCCCTGGGTTTGGCAGGTGTTTCCATCTCCTCTAGACTATAAACTCCTCAAGGGCAGGGAGGGGTGGAACCATCCATGCCATCTCTGTGGAGTCTACACTGTATGTCTGCAATGCATGCTATACACACAGATTTGCAGTTACATCCAGTATTCAGCAGCAGTAGTGACCCGTGCTTTGTGCTGGGCCTGGGCAACAGGTAAGAGCATTCCATTGGATGTTCCTCGAGGACAGGCTTCCTTCATCTTATTGGTGCACGGTGCTATTTATACAGTGTGGCTGGGACAGAGCAAGTGCCAGCAAGGCTTGTGAGCAGATCTCAAACACATGCCTAAAAAAATGACAATGTTGCTGTATTCAGTCCCCCTTCATGGACTGGGGGAGAAGGCTGGGTGCACTGTTGAGGTACAGGGAGCTGCAGGAGCAGGAGAGACCTGTATGCCAAATTAACATGGTTCTCCTCTTTGGGACCTCTGCCCTCTCACAGGCCTTGACCCTATGGGGCCTGAGAAGCCCATGGCTGGCATGCTCTCTTCTCTGCCCATCACCCATCTCCCTCTGCCATCAGACTGCAATGGTCCTTAAGCCTGTATCTTTGTCTTCCAGACTCCCACGGTCATAGTAGTAGTTCCTTTTTTGTGTTCCCTTCACCTTGGCTTGTCTTCAGGCTGGTTATTTGACTCCTGCGGTCATAACTGAATCATCCTCCCCAGATACCTTGTCCCAAGCACAGCCACCTGTGGAACTAGCCTCTGACAATTTTCTACTGTGTCTCTATTATAGCAGCTGTGTAAGTGTGGGCTGCCCTCTAGGTCTATGTCCAATGGCTCTGAGAAGGGAAGCTCGGGGAGGGCAGGGTTTCTGCTGGTTTAACATCATGGCTGATTCCCAGTGTCTGGATGGTGTTTTCATCAGCTGAGTTCATTGAAGGGATGATCGGAACAGGAATACATTCAGTAGAACCTGAGGGCTTCTGGGAAGATGCCAAAAAGTGGCCACCTTACTCCTGCTTTCTGACTGTCCCTCTCTCTTAAGCTCTGTCACTCTCCAGTGTGCATGTGGGGGAAAGCTCCACATTGGTTGATTCTGCTTGCCTGCTCTTCCCCACTTAGGTCACTTCCACCATGATCTTGCACCATCTGCCTGCACCTTCCCAGTATGCTCTGCACAAAGCTGACTTTTCACAAGCCAGCTGAGGGCTGTCTAGTACACAGCACCTGCTAAATATAGATGCTACCCTACTGTTTGCAACTCATCTTTGCAAATGACACTGAAACCCAGTGAGGTTTCCAAATGACTCTCTATATTATCTACATTGGCTTTGCTGGGTGGGGTTCCTGGGTCACAGGCCCCAGATTCTGCTCTGTCTTTGTGGGATTAGCTGTGAACTGTGGGAAGTCACTGGACTCTCTGAGGAGCTGTCCACTTTAGGAGGAGGAAATGGCAGGGAGAAGTTTGTAGAGCATCCTCCTGGCACCACTGCCTGCCATTTCCTGATCAGAAGCAGGGAAGTTCAGGGTAAACTTGGGCCGGTGTTCTGGGAGCCTTTCTCCTACCCAGAATCATGTCCATAGGTTTCCTGCTGCAGATTCACACACTATGAACTATATGTTATATACACTGCATACATTTAACAAGATATGTTTATATATATATATTATATAAAGACACATGTGTATTCTAATTACTAACCCACAAAAAATTGGAAGAGAGCCATGCACACATATCCACTGTTGCCCAAGTCTCCACGGAAGTCTGTCTTACTTGTCTTTCTCTCGCTCTTTCTATTTCTACCTCTTGAGTATTTTTCCTTTTAATGAACATTCAAAGTTGAATTCATAATGACCCTTTCCCCCAATACATCACCATGCATGTGCTCCATCAGGAACCTGAACCTTCTCCACAGAGCTACAGCATCATCACCTTGCACAAGAGCATGACCTTCCACTCCATATCATCTGTGTGAAGTAGGGACCAGATAACTCATCACCACCGTGTTCCTTCCTGTTCTTTCCCCTTGACTCGGGGCCCCTCAGGGATCGCCTCTTGCCCCAAGCTGCCATGCTCCCATAAAACTGGGATGTGCTAGTTCTCTCTCAAAACCCTCCTAGTTTTTTTCTGGTGGTACCAGAGCAGAGGTAAATCTTGTGACCAGGAAGGCTGCCAGGCAGCTCTCCTGTGCACCAGCCCAGCTGTCCAATGTCTCAGGTCTCTGGCAACTGAAACTGGCAGAGCTGGGGCTACAACTGTTGCTCTGGGTCCCTTCCGTAGTGACACAAGAAAACTGTAAAAATGAGAAAACTCAGAAAAGAAAAGCTGCAGTGAGCTATTCACAGCCTCCTTGGGCCCAGTGAGCTCTAGGGATGCATACAAGCAAATTCACAGCCCCATCTGCCTTTTAATTAGAAAGAGAAGAGAGAAAAAAAGAGCAAGTTTCTATAAGCCCCGGCCATTTAGAATCAAGCTGACTATATTCTCAAGTGCTTTGTAAAGAAATTAATAAGGCCCCTCTCTTCCCTGTCCTTGCAGAGAGAAGTCTGCTCTGCGTGGTTAGTGAAAACAGGAACCTGCCCTCCTGCCAGCCCTGCGCCTTCCTTGTTTCAGCAGAGGAAGTGTGGGGCCGTTTAGCAACTGCAGTCCTGCTGCAGGCTTGATAGCATGGGTTGTGCCTGCACTCCCTCTCAAGCCTGGGTGGCCCATTCAGCCAGGAGCAGCAGTAGCTGATGGAGAGTTGGTGACCCTATGCCTGCTGGCTTTCTGCTGCTGACTCCCAGGAGAGGCTGTGCTCTGTCTCTGAAGGTATCTTGGGGACCACGGCTGGGAGAAGGTGGGGAGAGACTCTAGAAGCCCTCAGAGGCACAGCTGATAGGGCCGGGCTTTTGGAAAGAGATCCTGAGGATGAAAGAGAAAGGTCCTGGTGAAGACCTGGCCCTTAAACATATGACTGCTCAGAAGATACTGCATGGCTAAATCCAGGAAAAGGAGTGCTGTGCAGGCAGGTGGGCAGCCCACCTTCCTGCCGGGGACAGAGTCTGACTCAGGTAACAACCAGGACTAGGATGACAGCTGTGTCCCTGTGGGCAAGCCACTTAAAGGATTAAAGACCTCCACATTCTCATCTGTGAAATGGGAATGCCAGTGCCTTGTTCACAGAGATGTTGGTCAGATGAGCCGAAGTAGCATAAGCAGTGCTCAGAGCAGGTTCAGACACACAGCAGGTGCTCAGTGAGGGCTGTTGGTGAGGCACCATGATATCTAAACGTGCACAGGGCCTTGAGCATCAGCAGTAGTGCCACATGGAAACTGGTTGTTGGAATCTGCCTGGGGAAGGTAGCCCAGATAATTGACTATGATCTAAGTAGGAAGTAGGCCCATGGCGAAGGGGCAGGGCTAAAGAGAAGGGCAGCCCGGGACATCTCTAAGTTCTGAAGTCATATAATGTTATAAACGGAAGAAATGTGGGAAATTCAGAATTTCCCAAGGCATGTGGCATGCTACACGTTCATTAAGTGCCTGCATAATGACAGAGTCTGGTGTTAGAGAATGGCCTGGGCTGAGGTCTCAGAGTGGCTTGACTGGGGCTGCGTACAGGACTGTGAACCGATGTCTGCCATCCAGTGTCCATCAGGGCCACATTGGTGCTGCATCTGTGTGGTCGTCAGAACCGTCCTGCACTTGTTACTTGCTTTTGACAAATGAGAAAATGAAGCTCAGAGAGTTTAAGTGTCTTACCCAAGGCACACAGCAGGTAGGGATGTAGAAGCAGCTACAGCCTCTCTGGGCTGAGGCAGGGGAAGGAAGAGCCTCAGTGAACATCAGGGACAAAGGACAAAAAGTCTTTGCTGACAAGTGCAATTTGTGTTAGAGAATATACATCCCATAGTCTGCAAATTGTCATGCTGAGGACTGCTAGAAGATGCCAAGTTGCGAATCTCTTAATCAGAGCTGTGGTCGTTTTAAAAACAGGTTGGAAAGTTGTGTGTTCTGGCAACTTCTGTTTTGACTGATAATTTCCAGTTAAAGGATGCTATTCAAGATGCTCAGCACTCTTTAAAAGTAATGATAACCTGTGGGACAGGCACACTGAAATCCATTCAGCCCTCTGCTTCTCAAGCAGCTCTACAGTTGGAGTACTGAGGGAGGCTGGTGTTTCTATCAGTCTTCCTGACTCCCAGAACGTTGTATCAGAATTCCAGGTCTGCCACTAAAGGGCTGTGTGACTCTGGGAAAGCCACTTTGCCTCTAAGAATGTCAGTTTATTTCTCATCAAAAGAAGTCTAGCTTCAGTGCATGTTTGTAAGAAGTGCAGATTACATGTAATATGCAGGAGATGCTAAGTACCAAATCATGATTATTAATATCATTCCTAAGCCAGGCAGTCTACCTGATCCCGCTGCATTCCTAGCAGAAGATTGCTAGCATGTTAGGAAGGGTGGTTCACACTGCACGTCATGCTGGACAGAAACGAAAACTCATCAGTAGAATTCCGTCTCAGCAAACTGAAATGGTTCCTAACACAGAGAACCCTCTACTCAGGAGGGAGCTGATGATGTGCTATCTGAGAACAGTGCGTGCTTCTGAAACTCAGAAATTGCTCATTGAAGGCAGCCTTCATCCACTTCCTGCATTAATAGAGGTGGCTGGGTTGTAATTTTTCATTTCCTATTAAGCAGGAATTTATTTCCCACAGCTCTGCCACAGGCTTGAACTGAAAATTCTTGTTAACGATTTCCAGCAAGTCAGACCAAACCATTTGTTAGCCACCTTAGGGACGAACCTGTTAGTACCTCCAGTTCTGAGTATCTGCCTATCCATCCCGCCATCCTTCAATCAATTCCTCCATCCATTTGTCCATCTGTCCGTCCATCCATCAATCCGTTCAAGCATCCATCCTCCTATCCACACATCCACCCACCCATCCTTCCCGCTATCCGTCTGTCCTCTAAGTAAACATACCAGGGCCACACCATGTAACTTCCCCCCTTTCTCAACCTCCCCAAGTTTCTGAAAAGAAATTAAGTACATCATGTCCAAACCACTTCCTCCCATCCTAGAACCACTCAGGAAGGCTGCAGATTTGACTACAGGAACTCCAGCTGCTGTCAGACCTCGTGCCTCCACTGTACAGTGCCTTATTTCTGTTATCAAACAACTTTGAGGAGTCCTCTCACTTCTCTCAACAGTAGATTGCCTAAGGCCATGATGGAGGACTGGGTATATGGGGTGGAAGGTGAAGCTGAGGAGACTCAGAGAAGCTCAGAAGAAAGTAGAAATTGTCCTCTAGCCATCTTCAAGGGCAGAAGGACTCCCTAGTATGGGCTTTCTGCCCTAAAAGTAGACTACCTCCTTCCTGCACCAGACCAGGCACTTTATACACAACACTTCAATTCACTCCACTGAGTTAATAGTGCACCTATTACACACCAGGCCCCTGCACGGTCTTGGTTTTCAATTGAAAGAACGTGAATTTCCTGGGGTGACATGGAGTCATGCTACATTCTTCCATCTCCTAATGCTCAAGGGTATCAGAAGTGCAGCCTGCTTTAGAGGCAGAGGCATGGGCTCAAATCTTGCCTCTGCTGTTCACTACCCCATAGCCCAGGACAAGTTGAGTAACTTCTCTGGCCTCAATTTGCTCAGCAATGCCAAATACTGAGTAGAACAGTGTGTACCACATAGAGTTGTGTAGGTCAAGGGAGGAGGCATGTTGCACACAGAGATTTCAGAACTCCTCAGTGTGTGTCTGTGCCTGTGACTCCAGTTGCTTGGACCAGACCTCTGAGCCTCGTGAGCAGCAGCCTCGCTTGTGATGAGCACAGGGTGTCCTCCATCTGGTTCTCCGACTCCTTATGGAGCACCAGATGGCCACCCCCAAAAAGAAAATGGCTTGCCCACCGCCCACTCTGGCCGGCCCACTCTGGTACTAAAGATGTGATGCATGGAGAGTAAGGTTAGGGAAATTAACAGGAAATTGAACTATCTCATCCTCATGATGGTGTTACAGTCATTCTTTGAACAATTTCACAACAGAGTCTACAAGGCTTGAGCCCAAGAGCCATGTCTCTGGCTAGACACTGTCCAGGTGGAGTGGCTTCCAGTGGCCAGATGCAGAGGACAGGGCAGTCCCAGGCCCCTTGCCTTCTTCTAAGATCTGTGGAGCAACCGCAGAGAAGGACAGGGCAGTCCCAGGCCCCTTGCCTTCTTCTAAGATCTGTGGAGCAATCCCCGCTCATAAAGTGCCTGCTGTTAGTAGGGAATGCTCTTTGACCAGGGTGAACATGACCGAAGGACTTAGGGTTGGAAATGAAAAGAGGAGAAATCTAAAAGCTGACTCCATCTCCAAATGAGCTCTGTGATCCTAAATGAGCAACTTAAGCTGCCTGTGACTCAGAGTCCTCATCTGTAAAACGGGTGGCCTACTTGGGCATCATAAGTCTGAGTACCTTAATTATTATTCAGACCTTCCATACAGTGACTGCTCATTGCGTTCAGTGTCTTTTTTCCTTTGAAAACCAAGGGGGGATGCTTGTGGGCAGATGGATTCCACACAAGACTGACTGTTAAGAGAAAAATTCATTGAGGAATTGATTGGTTGGTGGGAATGCAAACTGGTCAGCCTCTATGGAAATCAGTATAGCACTTCCTCAAAAAACTAAAAGTAGAAGTACCGTATGACCAAGCTATTCCACTCCTGGGTATGTACCTAAAGGACTCTGAGTCAACAAACAACACGGGCACCTTTATAGCCATGGTTACTACTCTATTCATAATGACCAAGATATAGAACCGACCTAGAAATCCATCAGCAGATACATGGATGAAGAAAATATGGTACATATATACAACAGAGTTTTAATCAGTTGCAAAGAAAGCTGAAATTATATATTTTCAGGAAAACGGGTGGACCTTGAGAACATCATGTTAAGCGAATTAAGTAAGTCTCGGAAAAGACAAATTCACATTTTCTCCCATATGTAGAACCTGATATCTCTATAAATATATAAACATGCATACACACATGCATGCCAAGAAGGTAGAAGAGTAAAGGGACTAAAGACAGGGGAAGCAAACAGGGAAAGGTGATGGGGGTGAAGCAGTCAATGCACACAATACTGGAACTGCCATAAATATTTGGGAGCTCATATCTAATCCTTAAAAGATTTTAGGGTTACCTCTTCAGAGGGGGGAATGTTGGAGGGGAGGGAGTGGGCATGGATTTGATCAAAACACCTTATATGCATGTATGAAATTCTCAATAAAATTTTTGTAAAAATTAAACAAAAAGAAAATGCCATATGAACCCATCATGTTGTATTATAAATAAAACTAATCAGTAATTTTTATTTCTTAAAAAGGATCTATGGGTTCCAGCTTCTTGGAGCCAGTTGGAACTGCTGGAGGTCATTGGGCAGGCACATCCAGAGATGTCAGATGGGAAGCCAGAATTCTACTTCAGAGGGAGAATTTACACCATGGAAACTGGCAAGCCCTAAAAACTGGAGACTTCCCAGCACTAATTGCTAAATCTCCAGATTCAAGTTGGGGATAGTCAGAAAGGGCCATGACCCCAATACTCAGCCAAGAGTCTGGAGTCAGAATTCAGCCTGTGACAGTAGCTCTGGGCTCTTGTGGAAGGATTGCTACCTGAGTAAATCCCACTAGACCTGGCCTGGCCTGGCCTGTGCTCTGATGGGTGACTCACAGGGAAGGGTCGGTCATCTGTGCATACAGCATGGGGCACAACTCAGATTTCTATCTTGTGGATAGAATTGTGACTAATTCTGGTGACTCATATATAT